GTCTGCCTACTCAGAGGCATTACCAGAAATTGAATAGGATATCCGCCTACTCAAGAGGCGTCACTCAGATCAACAAATCCCCAGAGGATTCCTGCTTACCTAAGAGGCACTCATCAAAAATCCCCGACAACCAGCAAAGTCAGATGACCACTATCAAAAGGATCGAAACAAAGAATCCCCAACAAACCAACAGAGTTAGATGAACACCAACAGAATCCCTGGCACAGACCAGACGATCGAATCTCAGAAAGGACAAAGACAAGAGAACACATCCCAACACCGGCGCATGAGCTAGAGCAGTAAGCCGCCACCATCGCCAAAGGATCAGCCACCGTCAGAAGGGGCATCCAGAGGCACCAAACCAGACGAGGGTTCGTACTCGTCAACCAAGGGGTCAGCTACCACGTCAAAGGAGCATCCCAAGGTTTCACATCGGCGCATGAGCTAGAGCAGTAAGCCGCCACCACGGCCAAAGGATCAGCTACCGCAAGATGAAGCATTCGGAGGCTTAACACCAGATGAGGGTGTGTACTCATCAGGCCTTACAAAAGGGGGCTTACCAGACGGGGGTTCATACTCGTCAAACACCAGATGGGGGTGTATACTCATCAGGCCTTACAAAAGGGGGCTTACCGGGCGAGGGTTCATACTCGTCAAACCAGATGGGGGTTCATACTCATCAGCCGAAGGGGTCGGCTACCGTCAGAAGGAGCATCCCGGAAGCGCACAACATTTCCCCAGAGGATCGTCCGCCGCAAAGACGGAGCATCTGACGGGCAAGAGGGTCAACTCCTTTACCCTCCAGTCGATCACTTGGGCACAAAAGGCCGACAGTCGACTGGTCGGGTAAAGGGGGGGCAGCTGTAGACCCCAAATCTTGCCCGACCTCCAAATAAAGAGTAGAAGACCTCCTATTCGAAGATGGACAAAGCCTAAAAAGCCACTAGGAGAGACTATTAGGCCCCATGCTAGGATAGGAAGGATTTTCTGTACAAAAATAAGGTTTCTCGCCTTTTTTGGGGACGAGACCGCCGTCTCAAAATCGAGACCGTCGTCTCGCCTCATGCAAATGGCGAGACGGCGGTCTCGCTTTCCCAGACGGCGGTCTCGCCACCTGCGAAGCACGAGACGGCGGTCTCGACCTTGTCAGACGAGAACGGTAGTCTCGCCACTGTCAGGCGCAAAAACCTATAAATAGGGGCTCCTCCCCCCCTCGTTTCTACACACCACACAGAGTTTCTCCTCCTTCTCTCTAGAAATCACCTAAATTTCTCTCTCTAGAATCCCTCAGACGCATTTCCGGAGCTTCTGAGTGTTTCTGCGAGTGTTTTTCGGCGTTTCGAGAAGTTTCCGATGCTGTGTAGAGGAAGGGCTGCCACAAAGCACCCTAAATTTTAAGGAATTAATAGAAAAGCGTGCTTCGGAGGTTTACATTTTCACTCTCTACTCTTACCGCTTTAATTTTAAATTATGCAATAGATACTAGGGTCATGTAGTCGTAATTTTAAATTCCGCAGAATAAAAGGGTAAAAGCGTAATTTTCACCGGTTTAAATATTTTTAAATAGCTGGCCTGTCATAGGGAACCCAAAAGGGGCGTCATAAAGGAACTAACACTTCCTTTACACGTAACTAACTCCCTTACCCAATTCTGGTTCTAACGACCAAAGTTGGTTTTTCGAAAACCAACGCCTTTTTAACTCCTTTTCCGATGTTTCCGGTAAAAACATCGGTGGCGACTCCACAGAACCCTTCAAAACTAGTTCTTGGGTTAGCCCGGTTATCGGACAACCCAAGAACTCCCTTTCGAAAACCTCGCCCCTAGGTTCAGTCTGGTTATCGGACGACCTAAAGGCGTTGTAGCCACCAATAAAAAACGCGAAAATCAAGAGGGTCGAAACCATCGCGTCGCTCCGACCGCCTCGTTTTGACAGCGGCGACAGGTGGCAAAGTGGTAAACCAAGTGAAGGCATTCTTTGTTAATGAACTAGGGAAGTATTTCATTTTTAATTCCTCATTCATAGTTATATCTTCACATTCGATTTGATATCGTGTCACATGCTCTATAGCGGATTCATCGATTTCTCGGTAAATTTTGTGAACTTAGGTACTTTATATCCTCGAGGTAATTCTGTCTCGAGAATTGTATTTGGAAAAGGAGAAACAAAGTACAGTTGGTTAAGTGGTCTTAATTCCACTCCTTGGGGATTCATCCTTTGACCCAACACATGATTGTACTGCATGTTATTATGATTATACACATTTTGAAACCCCCCATTTAAATTTCCGTGAGCATCATTCCTCACATGCAGATATTGATCAACATTTCGATTTCTCCTTAATAAATAAAGGGGATTGATGTTTTGGTTATTATCCTGATTGGCATTATTCTCAACCCTCGTTTGTCGAGGTATTGTCAATGCATCCCCGATACGTGTCATTTGATCTGCTAATATCTCAAAACTATTAGTAGTGTTTTGAATTAATGGATTTAATACTATAGTCAACTGTTGTGACAACACATTAACCATCTCAAAATTACTTTCATCCATTTATTGTCAAAACACCCTCGTTTGTCGAGGTATTGCCAATGCATCCCCGATACGTGTCATTTGATCGGCTAATATCTCAAAACTATTAGTAGTGTTTTGAATTAATGGATTTAATACTATAGTCAACTGTTGTGACAACACATTAACCATCTTAAAATTACTTTCATCCATTTATTGTCGAAACACCCCTAATGAATTACTGGAAATTCCAGTACTAGCTTTTTCGATAGCATCGAAATTGGATCGATGATAATCTCTATCGAATGCATATCTCTCATGATCCAAATTTGCTCTGTTATCCTGATTTGGAATTGGAGACATCTGTTGTGTTCCTAAACTTTGCGCATTTCCTGGATTCTGAGATGTTCCTAAATTTTGGGATATACCTAAATTCGAGGATACTCCAAAATTTTGAGGCATTCCTAAAGTTTGAAATGTTCCTAAGTTTTGGGGCATTCCTAGGTTAGGTCTCGTACTACGTTATACTGAAGCACCAGCCCCATTCATATTGTTAAACGTAAGACCAAGTGGTCTTACACTCATATATGGATCTGCATATGTTGTTACGGGGTTTCCCATAGTTTGCATATTGTTTGACATTATAGTCCCCGATCCTATTAACTGAGTATTTGCTAACGTCCCTGGGCTTTGTTCATTATTCACTAGAATCGACGCACTCACATTTTTCGATATTACGGGTATAGTTCCATTGTGAACTTGCCCCCCCAGTGTTTGGTGGGTTTGGACTATTAGGAACCTCACTGTTACTCTGACTATTTGGTGGATTTTGATTCATTCTTACTATTCGTTTACTCCTTAATCTCATACACTTTTTGAACTAGCCAAATTTTGTGTGTTTAACACATGACCCCTACCTGGCGCGCCAATTTATTTTTGGTGAAAATTTTGGTTGTTTCGATTTCCTAAAGACTTAAGTTCTAACCAAATTTCAATCACGTAAATTCTTTTTATTTAGGCTAGCAAACAGTTTTTTAATCAAAAAATGTATGTAAATCGAAAGTATCAAAATATCGAGCCAATTGATGAAGCAAAGCGCGAAATTAGAAACATGAAAAACGTAACAAAGTATATAGACTGAAATCGAAAGTTCCTTTTTCTTTTTTGTATTTTTTATTAAAAGACTTGATAATATGAAAATTAGCGAAGTAAACAAAGCAATAAAAAGATGTCGAGACAATAAAGTAATACATAAAATTAAATTGCACTAAGAGTAAATGACATAAAATTAAATTGAACTAAGAGTAATCGAAATCACTGGAAAGTACAGGAAAGTAAAGAAATCTTTAAAAAAAATATTGAGACAAAGATGTAATGCAGAATCTTAAATTGCATAAGTGTAAATGACAAAGAATTAGTAAAGAATATCGAAACAAAGATGTAATGCAGAATCTTAAAATTGCATAAGTGTAAATGGCAATGAATTGAAATAATATGAAAGTAAAGACACGTAAATTTAAATTGCATTAAAGATAAAGTACCAGGGAAAGTACAGAAAACAGTAACAAAAGTCAATGAAAATGAAAATCCAGATCGCCAGAAACTTCATGATTCGTCGTTCTCCAATAGACTTGTACAATTGATTTTTGTTCTCTCTTCCAATTTCCCCTTCTTTCTTCATACTTCGCTCTATTTATAGATTTTCTTCAACGTAACCTCCTAAGAGCGGTTTAGAAACCGCTACCACGTCCCATGTGCACGCTAACTGTTCCCTCAATTTCTACCTTAGCCACGGTTTAGAAAACCGCTACCCATGTTCCATGTGCATGATAACAGTTCCCTCGATCTCAACCTCAGTCACGGTTTACCGCTACCCATGTTGCATGTGCATGATAATCGTTCTCTCGATCTCGATCTCAGTCATCGAGTATTTTAAACTGCTTCTGACTTCCCACTTAACTTCACACTCAATACCTATTATCGATTTTTTACTTCCCAATCATGTTCATCGAATTTCCTTTATCTTCTTTTGATTATGACTCTCGATTTTCCCTAATACAAAGTAATCGAATTTCTCTTATCCATTTTCGAATTAGATTCTCGATTTTCCTTAACACATAGTCATCGAATTTCTCCTATCCATTTTCGATTCAGATTCTCGATTTTTCTTAGCACATAGTCATCGAATTTCTTTTTTCGATTTTCGATTCCGATTTTCGATTTTTTCACCTCCAACACGATCAAAATTTAATAAAATATAATGATTGTTATAATAGAAGCTTTCCTCATTTTTTGATAATTAGTTCCCATGGCATAGTAAACTCATTAACCTTAGAAATTTGACAATTTCATTTGGACAGGTGATATAGACAAGGTGCTAACAAGCATACCAGGATTGGAGAATTTACTGAGAGAATGTGATCTTCCATCTATTTTAAAACTAAAACCAGGAAGTCTTTACGTTGATTTCTACATCAAAGAAACCTTGACCATGACTCAAGCTTCTGGCCTTATACTCAATACCTTTGATCAGCTAGAAGCCCCCATTATCAGCAAGCTCACTACTATATTTCCTAAAGTCTACACCATTGGTCCTCTCCACACTCTCATCAAGACTCAAATTGCAGACAATAGTTCATTGTCCCTTCATTTGAGAAAAGAAGACAAAAGCTGCATAACTTGGCTGGACCAACAAAAGGACAAGTCAGTTTTGTATGTCAGTTTTGGCACTTTGGCAAAGGTGTCATCTGAGCAACTATTGGAGTTTTGGCACGGTTTGGTGGCTAGTTTAAAGCCTTTCTTGTGGGTTATTCGGAAGGATCTTATCATTAGGGAAGGTGGTTTGGGTCATAATAATGTTCCTATGGAGCTTGAATTAAGAACTAAAGAAAGAGAGGGTTTGTGGTGGATTGGGCACCCCAAGAAGAGGTTTTGGCTCATCCTGCAGTGGGTGGGTTTTTGACTCATAATGGTTGGAATTCCACGTTGGAATGTATTGCTGAAGGTGTGCTTATGCTTTGTTGGCCATTGATAGCTGATCAGACGATCAATAGTAGGTGTGTGAGTGCGCAATGGAGGATTGGGATTGACATGAATGGAACTTGTGACAGGTTAGTTGTTGAGAAGATGGTGAAGAATGTGATGGAGAATCAATCACGGCTCACAAGCTTCGCATATGAGATTGCAAAACAAGCTCATGATAGTGTCAAAGAAAATGGTTCCTCTCTTCAGAGCGTAGAGAATTTGATCAAGGACATTAAGTCAATGAAGGTAATTAGGAATTAATATTGAGTAAAACTCGTTTTCAAGATGAAGATTGGTACATTTATTTGGGAAGGTAAAGATTTCCATGTAATAATTTTATTTTAAGTAATGTACCAATTTTGGTTATTTTTTCTATTCATTATATTTATAATATTACATTAAGAAAGTAAGAGTTAGTATTAAATACGTGTAAATGATTATTTAAAATAATAATAGTATAATATCCATTATTTATTTACTATATTAATATTCATAATCTTATAATAACTTATTTAAGTATTCAAATAATTTTGAAGATGGAATTTTCACTTGACATTAGTAAAATTAGGTCTAGTAGATTTCAAGAAATTCATTATCAAGACTAATCTATTTGTGTTTTTTTTACTAAATTGAGATGTTCTTTTAAAGGAAACACAAATAATTATATCAAATAATATAATATCATCTTCATACTAAAATCTAAAATTTTATAATATTAGATTATAAATATTTTTTATTTATAAATTACTTAATTTTTTTTATAAATATAATTTTTTAAGATTTTTAATTCAGAATAGGGTCATGCTTTTTTATATAATTATATTGTCTTTGTTTTATTAAACCTAACAATGAGGGTAATACCTCAAAATTTATTATGTAATTCTTTTTTAAACATAATATATTAAACTATAATATTTTTAGATAATTTAAATATTTTTATAATAACATACCCTTTAAAAAATTATTATTAAAAAATCATAATAATTAATTATTAAATATATGTATATATAATTGAAAAAAAAAAAAGATAAGGCTTATCTCTTTTTGGAAGAGAAAAACTTATTGTAATTAAAAAAATGTAAAAAAGTTAAAATAAATTGAATATAAATAAGTGTGTTAGGTGTGAAAAGAATAAGGAGGAAGAAAGAGAGAGAAACCAAGAGAGAAAGAGAAAAAAAAACGGGAGAATGAGATGAGGAAAATATAAGTAATATTAAAGTACGATGTATTATTTATATTTTTAATTATGATTGTAGGATGAAGCCTATCTAATAATATATTCTGTTATATTTTATTTATAACTTGTTATTTGTTAGTCTTAATTTATATTTATTTATTTTTAGTTATATATTGGTCCTATTTATTTTATCTCAAATTATATATTTATTTTATTTATTTATCTTTAATTATTCATTAATTTTATTATATTTATTTATTTTATCTTCAGTGATGCACTCATCCTATTTTATATTTATTTACTTCTCTCCAATTAACATTTGTCATTATATATATATATATATATATATATATATATATATATATATATATATATATATATATATATATATATAAGTAAAGTAAACTTATAACATGTACAATAAATAACAATTGGAAAGTGAGAATTTTAATAAAATAATATAATCTCATAATGATATAAAAAATCTATTTTCAACTTCATTATCATACTCCATTTATATTATATTTTGAATATTTGAATTATATTTTTAGTAACTAATAAGGATAAATGAACAAAAATTAATCACTCTTTAAATGTTTTTGCTCATTTCAACTTCAAGGTCAAACTTCCATTTATAATGTCATAAATTTTCATAAATAAAATATTTTATTCTTTAAGAAAATTTAAATAACAATCTAATAATATAAATATAAATTAATGATTAGTGCTACAGATAAATATAAATATAAAAGATGATCTATGTATAAATGGAAATAAATAAAAAGATATAATAGGATTAATGCGTAACTAAAAAAATTAAATAAATATAAAACAAGAGGACCAATGTTTGACTTTTTTTCATAAATAATACTATTTTTAAAAATATTTCCCAAAATAGCACATCTGGAACATTATTTACACAACTAGCACTTTTTATTGTTCACGTATTAAAATAATCTATTATTTTATATTATGATCGATTATTTCGCACAATCAACTCTCGCTCAAGTGAAGAAACTTTTCGCTTGAGCGAGGAAATCTATAACAAATGGGTAATCTCGGGTCAATTCTCGCTCAAGCGAAGAAACCCTTCGCTTGAGCGAGGAAATCTGTAACAAAGGGGTAATCTCTGGTCAATTCTCGCTCAAGTGACGGGTATTTTCGCTTGAGCGAGAAGTGATTAAAATATGTGGTGACCCAAGTTGCGTTATGTGGCTAACTGTGTTGGACGTTTAGCCTGTGGTCAATTCTCGCTCAAGCGATGAGTTACTTCGCTCGAGCGAGAATTGATTGGGTAACTGCGTTGGACCGTGGTCAATTCTCACTCAAGCGAGACATCCATCGCTTGAGCGAAGAAATTTATAATCGATTATAATTTGAACTAATCGATCATAATTTTAAAATAATCGAATATACAAAATTATGATCTATTATTTCTCTCTCGCTCAAGCGAAGAAACTTCGCTTAAGCGAGGAGACCTGTAACAAATGGGTAATATCGGGTTAATTCTCGCTCAAGCGACGGGTACTTTTGCTTGAGCGAGAAGTGATTGAAATATGTGGTGACCCAAGTTGCATTACGTGGTTAACTGCGTTGGACGTTTAGCTTGTGGTCAATTCTCGCTCAAGCTTCCAGATACCCATAATATGTAAAGAAACAAAGAAAAGAAACTAGAACAATCAAACCTAGATTATGCAGCTCCTGCAGAATGAGTTTCTTCAAAACTTTTCGCAAAACTTTCTAAGTTATTTTAACTGATAACAACAAGTTTTAATCGATTAAAACAGTTAGCAAAAAGTTCCTTAAATAACCTTTGACTTCATCAAATCCACAAGATCTTCTTTTTATCAAATGATTCAATAAGATCTTCATCACTTTCAATTAATTGAAAAACTCCTAAATTTCATACATTGAGACATTTCTTAACTAACACAATCTAATGATGCAAAGTAGATGCACGTGCAACATTGGGACATGTTCTTCTGCTATGACCAGGGATATGACAATATGAACATTTTTTAATCCTGCTTTGATTTTCTGTAATGTCCATCTCAGTTCTTATACGACTTGATTTTGGTCGGCCCTTTGAAGTTCTTTTCATTTCTGGATTTGCACACAAAGTAGGTCCTGTGTATGTTGGTCAATATTCTTCATTTCGCAATAACCCAAATTGTGTTCCGTATACCTTTAAAACTTGTTGTACGGTATACACTGAATTAATATAGTTGTTGAAGTCATGGTGTGCATGCTTGCATGCAGTAAGAACATGTGAACAAGGCATGTGAAATTTTTGAAATTTCTCACAGTCACACCATAACTCATCAAGGTGAACTGCAAACTTCCCTGCTGGTCGAACTTCACGCGGGTTTTGTGTTTCTTCTACTACAAATTTTGTGGTAGACCTGTCAAAAGGTATGACCCTATGCGTGTTTGCATGTGTTTGTGCTTCCTTTAAATTTGTGACCAAAATTTTAGAGTATACATGACCAGCATTAATCATGGCATCTATCTGCCTCCCTCTTTCAATGAAAAATTTGTTGCAGCAGGTGTACGTTGTGTTAACCATGGAGCAAATAGGTAGATTTCTTATTTTTTTCAAAACAGAGTTGATAGACTCTACTATGTTGGTCGTCATGTGGCCCCAACGTCGTCCATTGTCCCATGCAAGTGCCCATTTTTCTCTAGGTATCTCATCCAACCAATTAGCTGCTTTTATGTCATATTGCCTCAAGATGTTGTAATAATAGTAGAATCGTGGTTCAGTCATCCCATACTCTACAACAATATTAAAAAAACATAGTTAATATAAATATTTATTAGCAACAATTAAATAATGAATAAATTGTAATAAATTTGAAGCAAAGGAATTACCCATATTTACAACATCTTTCCTCAGTGCGGTGTTTTTGAAACGTCTCATAAAATTTTGTGCAATGTGTCTAATGCAGTAGACATGCATTGAATTATTTTCTGTTCATCCGCTTCCATTTCTCATGTATGCACTTCTAATGGATTCATGTCGGTCTCATATGAGGCATAATCCTTGCTGGGGTGTGACATATCTTTGAAGGTTTTTTAAGAAAAAAAACCAGGCATCACTTGTTTCACCTTCAACCACTGCAAACGCAATGGGGAGGATGTTGTTGCGGTCATCTTGTGCTACTGCAACCAACAAGGTACCTCTATATTTTCCATACAAAAAAGTTTCATCCACTTGAACAATGGGCTTGCAGTGAACAAATCCATTTATGCATGACCTAAACGACCAAAACACATGTTTAAAAATATTTGAATTTTGTTGAAGGACTTCACCTTGGTAAGTTGGTTGTGACTGCAGTTTGTAGATGAATCCGGGAACCAATTGTTGCATGGCTTGTAACAAACAAGGCAACTTCTTATACGAATCCTCTCAATTGTCATAGATGATCTCCACTGCCTTTTGTTTGGCCAACCAGGTCTTCCTGTATGTTATAGTGTAACCCGTTGTTAATTGGATGTGGGCTATGATTGTGGAGATTGGTGTTGACGAATCAACATCAATTATTTTACCAATTGTTTGGGAAATCATTTTATATCCCAACTTGTTGTGGTCTTGGCTGATTAATGGCGAAACGCATGTATGGTGCCCTTCAAGCTTCATAATCTCCCAATATTGCTCTCTTGTGCGCAATATTGCTCGACATCTCCAATTGCATTGGTTATCAACACATTTAACAACATATCTACTTTGGTTTGAAATTTTCACCTTGTATGTGCAGTGATTGACAATGTGAAAGTGGTTGATGGCATCTTGAACTTGTTCTTTTGTTATGAAACGTTGTCCAAGAAATAGAGTTCCTGCCGGAGAAACAAAAGACTCTCTATCCAACGCATAACCATACTCTGGGTCTTGTTGTTGAATGTGACTTTCAAAGTTAAGAAAATGTTGTGGTGGGTTGTATGGTTCCATGAAGTTTGGTGCATGTGTAGGGATATGTAGTTGTTCATCCTCTGATTCATCTTGGTGTTGACTGAGAATTTCATCTTCGTCTTCATCCTCACTAAAATGATCAACGACTTCAATTGGGAGGCCAACAATTTCGTT